AACCAAAAAAAACCCAGAAAATCCACAGGCTCCTTCCACCCACATTTCTGGATTTCAGAGGCACCTTATTGCAGTAATCCTCCCTAGATACATGAGTTGGTATAGCATGGACTTTGAAGCTTTTGTGGTAGCTTTCCCAGCCTTACTAGCAGAGCTGTGAGCTTGATGACTAATCACTCCTTAATAACTCATGTTTCCTCCCCAAAAGTCCCTGAAATGAAACTAGTGGGGGAAAGCATATGAGCAGGGATTTGTAAAGTAGAAAATCACTTTGAAATGGGCTTCTTTCCCAGTAACCTGTTAGTTTTTTTGAAGCAGGAGGTGGTGGCAGTGCTGAATTCAGTTATATTCCCCACACTCCCAGACCTTGAAACTGGGAAGTGATCCCTGATAGTGTATTTCAGACATATCCCCAAATAATGAAAACAAAACATAGATTTGTTGTAGGCCTCTATGGCTTGGCTGTTGCTTGAATTTCTTCTATAGGAACTTTAAAATCCAGATATCTTTCTCCCAAGTATATTCCCCCATTCTGGGTTTGAAGAGAAAGCAGCATAAGCCAACAGATACAAATCTATGTCTACTCAGGACTTTCCCAACTGTGATACTAGAATAACTGAGGTTGGCGAGATCTTTGATTCTGTGATGGGACAAGCTCTTTGCAGGATGATATTTACTGATGCCACTTTATCAATCCCCCTTTTGCCCAAACGCAAGTATCTGAGTTATTGCTGGATCAAAAGGTGACAACAGCCCCGTGTCTCATGTGCTTGATTGCCCTAGAAAATTATTTGCATAGCTGCCTAGAAGCAGACACATATTTACTGGGGGGAGTCTATGGAAGCTTTAGCATCTTCCCTCTCACTTAAGCACCATAAGAAACCACACGTACTTCTGTGTCACATACCACAGCTGCAACTGCACAGCCTGTCCAGACAGATGAGAACTGCATCTGCTTGTAGCTGGGCACCCCATACACGCTGATGCAGAAACTTGGAGTATTCAGCCTGGCACACACACACAGCAAAAACGCAAGTTGGACAGCACATGCTGCAGCTGGACATCCTCTCTTTTTTTGCCAAAATATAAAGGCTCCTAAGCAGAGGTATTCTGAGCATTCAGTCAACTGAGTTATGAGTTGGAAAAGCATCAGCCATGCAGTGCTATCCAGTACGTGCCCTTCTTTTCTCCTCCTGGTTCATACATTTTCACTTCTCTTTAGCTTTCTGGGCACATATTGTACCTTGTGATGACATGGAAGAACAAGGCCTTTAAGTCTTTATTAATTGTTACTACTGTATTTTTAAAAGGAGCTATTTAGGAAATTCTAACTTTTGTTACCATAGGAATGAAGCTGTAGGATTCAGCAGAAGAACAATTTAAACAGCAATGTTTAAGTAATTCACTTCCATTTTAATTCTCCGCTCCTTCCAAGCTCCTCTTGGACATAAAGAAAAAGGCTTTAAAAGCCCTCTCTCCCCCTCAGTGCCGCTTGACTCTAGCCCGAATTAGGAGGTTCAGCCCTGTTATCTATAGCAGGGCTTAGCAATGTCCCTTCCCACCCACAGAGCGTCTCCTCTTCTTCCCGAATAAAGAGCAGCAAAGTGCTCCTTGGCTCAGGCAAAGCTTCTCATCTGTTTTTTTTTCACCTAGTTTAAAGCAATGTTTATGCAACTTTTATACAATAAGAACTGGCTGGAGGAGCGACCAGTCCTCTGTACAAAAGCAGGTTGGGATGCTTGTACCTGGTGAGCTTGCCGAGGAGAAAGCTGATCTGATCAGTGATTTACTACTCAGTGTAATTCTGAATTGTTTTAACAGAGCACTCTTATGTGCCCCTTTCTGAGTTTGTTTGCTCCTCCTTTTCTATTTGAAAGGTGTAGGTCTACATTAAGTTTAAAAAAAAACCCAGCAGAGCAGGTGATTTGATAAGGAATTCTACTGGCCTTCTCCAAGGAGGGAAGGAGAACAGTAGAAAGCTGACACTCAGACTTGCTATTCCCCCTTGTTTGTTTTTTAAACCTTTGAACCATGGAAACGTGACAAGCAGCAAGAAAGTGGAGAAAAGTTTTGTTTTCCCTGGCTTAAAGTCTCCTTTGAGATGCTATCACCATTCTGACTTGTGAACAGTGTTCTGGTTTCCCACCTCACATTTGGGAGAGTCTTGGATTAGTCGGAAGGGACTACTTAGTGAAACAAGGAATCTTGCACACCATTAAACAGCTGTCTAGCATTAACGGCAAGATTAAGATGTTCCTCAGCTCTCAGTAATGGTAACAGTTCTATTGACTTTCATGGTGCATGAGGGACAGCCTTAATTCTCCCCATGTCCTGCAGCACAACACTTCTATCTTCATAGCTGCTTTGACTCACTGATCCAAAGTCCTGGTCAGGAACTGGAAGAGGAGTCTCTCCAGGATATTACAGTATGTGTCTGTAACTTCACAGATGCTGTCAAGTGATGAAGCCACTTACAGATTAAGAATCTAATGCCTGGCTCTTCCTCAGCAAATGAAGATGAGCCAAGAAAGCAAGCCAGTGACCATATTTTGGCATGACTTTCTGGCAATTACAGTGGCCTTATTTATCACCCAACTCCTCCTTTTCATCGCACGTATCTAGCGTGCTCCAGCGTTCTGCCTCGCGTTCTTGCTCCTAGAGTCTGGCTTATCTTTCAGCTGTCTGGCCAAGCCTACTCTAGTAACCGACGGCCACAGGATCCTGTCTCAACAATGTATTACAAACTGGTCACAGGGATAGGGAATTACGTGGCTACACTAAAAAAAAAGACACTATCAATGCTAATCGAGCAGAGTACTTATCCGCCAAACCCAGCTATCCAGAGACTACTTTGTGCCCAGCTCTGCTTTTAGCAAAGGTGTAACAGCACTTCCACAGCCCCCACTGTTACACTGCTGGCTACAGGCAAATAGGTATTTTCAGATACACCCCCCACCCACCCACATACACTTATTTCTCTGGAGTTGGCCAAGCTGTTGAATTGAGGTCCTTTTATGGGAATGTACAAGAGGGGTTTTCATAAGCAAGCTGGAGAGTCTGGGAGGCACAGTCGCTGCGCTGTCGATGTGTCCGGTAGCACTCTGTAGTCTGTCCACCCCCTCAAATGCACCTTGTTGCGCTCCCCACTTCTTTGTGCCTTCATTTCCACACAGATTCACACGCGTGGTCACAATGAAAAAGAGGAGACCTTAGTCATATTTTATGTAATATTTCCTTGCATCTCAAAGAGTAAAAAAGACCGAGAGGAGGAGGACTCTGAAGAACTAGGATGTTTCTATTGGCTTTTCATTAAAAATGATCTCCCACCCAGTTCCAGGACTACAGGAAAACATTTTTTCCTTAAAATCCTAGTATAGTGAAGTCTACAAAAAGGATACAACAGGTAAACAAGGCTCTTGTTGATCCTGTGCTGGTGAGGCTTTTTAACTGAGCACTTAACTGGCAGTTTTGTATTTTTCAAATACAAGCTCTCAAATGATTAGGAATATCAGGGCAAGGGGAGTCTTTTAGTGTTTCAGTTTTCCTGCAAATACTTCCTCTTGCATTATTTTGAATCCAGCCAAAAGACTGGACAACCACAGGAACCGTCAACCAAATGTAAGACAAACAAAAAGGAGAACCACTGAAGTTACTCACAAAACTTGGACAGGGCAGTGAAATACAAATACAAAAGAGGGGTGGGGTGAGCGCAGCAGGCGAGAAGGAACAGTTTAAACTTATCCCAGCATATTATCAACATCCCCTCAGGTATTTCATTCAAAAGGTAGAATTTTATCTGCATTGTCTTTGAATAATCTCTAACAACCTCTGCCTCACATACGCCTTTTTTCCTGAAGGCTGACAGAGCTACTTCACTGATAGTGTTCTGGGAAAATGTGCTTTTATAAACAACCCATTCTGAAGTTAGCAAAACTATAATACATTTATGGGCCAGAACCTTAGCACTTCTAATACAAAAGTTACTTCGGGGAGCCGGAGCTGGTTGACAGCAGCTGAGAAGTGGAGCCTAATGCACTTACCAGTATATCCTACCTCCTTAGTTTTCTCTAAAATAAACAGTATCTTACAATTCCCAGACTGGCACAGGGGCACGATGAGACTCAGTCTCCTTATTGCCTCATCCCTGTGGTGCAAGGAAATGTTAGAGTGGCTCTGGAGCCGTCAAGTTAATGCAAAACCACCAAACTACCCGAGAGAGCTTGCAACCCTCACATTACGCTCCTTGTCTCACCAAAGGAAAGGCTGCCTGTAGAAACGGATTTTTAACATTTATGCCTCCCCCTTGTGTTTCTACCATATGAACTCAGCAGACTATGTTTATTTCTCAAAAGATCTCTCCAAATGCAAACTTTACACATCATATTTTCTTGGTTTCCTGCTAAATATGTAAATCCAAGAGTGCACTGAAAAAAAAAAATCTTTGAGTTGCTGAGTCTAAAATTTTCCACTGAAATCAACCAGAATTACAGCTATTACAGAAGTCATCCAATATTTAACAGAGGATCTGATCTTAGGGGATAGGGAGCATAATATAAATACTTTCATCTAGCACAAGCTCTGAAGAGACAAATTAAATATTACTAATTCTGTTCCAATGGAAAAGAGGATTCTTATCACTCACTTCATGAGAAGTGGGATTGAGTTGAGGTTGAAAGTTTATTTTGCTGCTGTTGTTGTGTTGGTTTTTTTTAAAGCAATAGAAGTACTTTTATTCTGGAGAACCTGGAGAAAATAGTGTGGAAAGCAAGGAAGAGAGAACTCCTGGCCTGATCCTTACTTCCCTGACAAGAATAAGGTCACAACTGTCCTTTTGTACAAAGAGTTTGTCAGCACAGAGGGAGCAAAAAGTTACCTGATGACAAGCAGAAGAAAAAAATGGGACATACCTGACTTGCCCACGCCAGCTCGACCAAAGATCGCCAGCTTCACTTCTGCGCTCTTAGCCATGCTGGAAGGAACGGAGTGGCGACAAATTCACTCGATTATCAAAAGTGAAGCAGAAGAACAGTTCCCAGCTCCTGTCTTCGGCTTCACCGTGTCATTGTGACGTCAATGCAGAGCCTGGGGAAGAATACCACGAGGATGGAGCTGCAAGGAGCCAGGCTCTCCCTCAACCCTCCCTTTTTTCTTTTTTAAATAGGCATGATAATTGATGCTATGTTCCCTCTTTAAACATTGCAGTAACACCACTGACACATTTGGCACAGTTCGTGCAAAACCCACCTTCAGCTTTCTAGCTCTTGCTGTTTGTTTCACACTGGCACTGTAATATTGCAAAAGGTACATAACAACCCAAAGTACCTGCCTCACAAGGTTCCTTATTCTTTCTTTCTCTTTCAGCTGAAATTGCTTGTATTTACTGTATTTGCCTCAACTCTGATGAATGTTTTTGTAGAATGTATTTAAAAGCCATGAGCACTCACTAATAGTGCCTACAGATAGCTGATTTTTCCTCAAGCCCTCCAGTTCCAAAAATGTTTCAACCACTCAGCTGCAGTTGCCTAAAAACCTCTAAGCACTTGTACCTTGCTCGTTCTGCTAAACAAAACCGTACCCAGAAGTTCTCCAGTGCTCCTTGTTTAAGCTGCCTTAGCTCATACATAAACATTCGGCAAAGCATGGGGTTAGAAAAAGGATGCCAGAATTGCTGGCAATACACTTTTAACAGGCCACATGGGAATTACCTATATTCACAGCTTTGCTGCATGACCTTGAGCAAGTCACCTAACACTTCATCTCCTTGATTTCTCTAACATGGACAGTAAAAAATATAACAGCATCTGTCACTGTAGAATGCTTTAAGATCTTGGGTGAAGAAATGGCAATGGTGACAATGATGGTGACCCTCAGCCCTGACTAAAACATCAAAAATTCAGTCTCCCTTTAAAACAGGCGAGAACTTTACTTGCGAATGCAACCAGTTACGAAGGTTTGCTGTCCTGCTAAAGTAGCCACTTTAGCCATAAATTCTAACAGTGACATAGGAGGCTCTCTATGTTAATACTACCCGCTCTACAGCAAATGCATTTCAAACATGTTTCTTGAAACAAACGCCCGAGGGTTTTGCCTATTAAAAAAAAAAAGGAGCTTGAAAAAAAAAAAAAAAAAAAAGAAAGAGTAAAGACACCTTACACAGCAAAAGGTCCCAATTCATCGCTGACGTCTTTACGCTCCTGATTCATTTCACCTAAGAGTAAACACCGGACCACGCTCCCTTTGCAGGAACAGTTAGAAACGCAAAGCGTTCCAGGAGCCGTATCACCTAGCGGGGTGGGTGGCTGCGAGGGGGACACCGGTGTTC